TTTCTTCACTGGAGTGGGATCAAACTGCAGACCCTCCACCTCCCCAGCAGCCCTCTTGCGTTCCTCGATCTCTTTTGGATCAGGAGAAGTCATCCGAAAAGCCTCCTTACCTTTCTGCTTTCCCGTCCCTGGAAATGGTTGCTGCCGAGGTTCGTTAGTTTGCCTGCTCTGCAGCTGCCCTGCACCACCTCTAGGATTCTACTTCGGCCCACTACCTCGACTACCTTCAGCATTGCGTCCCCCAGCCTGAAGAGAAGAACCTCCCCTGTAATAGTTCAACTTATTCTTGTCATCCGCCCCTTGCCCCTTATGATACCACATTTGTAGCCACTCCCCTGAGTTCTCACCTCAGCCTGCTTTACTGTTTTCACCTGCACATGCTTCATATTCTGCTCCTGGTCATTTTGCTTCTTAGCAGGTATAGCCATCACCACTGGCCTCTCATCTTCTACTACCGCAATATATTCCATCCCTTCATCTCTCTTCTGCTTCTTACTCTCCTGCCCCACGCCACTAGTATGTGGGTTCACCCAAACAGAGGGCTGGATTGGAGGCCTCAGCAGCTGTTGAATGAAGGCAGCCTCCTCCACTCGATACCTAATCACTTCCGTCGTGAGCTCGGGGCCATAATGTTCAATCCCAATTGGATCAGGGAACGAACAATTGGGGGCTATGTGCCCTAGTCTGCCGCAATGGTAGCATAGCATTGGAAGAAATTCATACACCAACGTAACCCAGAATTCACCTGCCAATGAGTTACTCGCGTACAGCTGAGATCGGAGGGGCTACAAGATGTCAACCAGCACCTTAGCCTTGATAAAATGCCCCGGCATGCCCTGCATCGCATAGGCTCAAGCCTCCAACACTGTACCAATCTTCGCCCCTGCAACTCGCTTTCCAAAAGCCACTGTGCGGCAATGAGTGGGAATCCCCCACATCTGTCCCCAGAATGGTACCATTGTGAAGGAATCCACAAGTGACTTGGTAATCTGGCACCATGGCTTCAGCTGGAGGACCCTCTACTTCACCGTCCAAGGTGACCGGTGAAGAACCCAGTCCTGATCTGCCTCGTCCGCGAAAAAGAACTGCAGCAATCCCATTTCAGCTTCTAAGACCCTAACTTCCACCGCACAGCTCCACTCCCCATTCACGATCTTGCTGATAACCGCCAAGCTGGGCGGATTATCCATGATAATCTGCCCAGCAAGCTCATCTTCGCCCATTGCACCCCTGTGGCCACATCATCCATCGAGAACTCCACGACTTGATCCATTGCCATGGCTTGGATCCCCGCCGCCACTTCATCAATCTTCCTCGCGTCACCCTATTTCTCAACTTCTGTTTCGCCAGTCACCCGAACTTTAGGGGCCACTTCATCAACCTTCATCGCCTCACCCTGTTTCTCAGCTTCTATTTCGCCAGTCATCTGAACCTCAGGCAGCACCGCCGTCGCCTTTTCAGCTGGAACATCACCGGATTTCAACATGGTCTGGGAAGAATGTCGTTGGATACACCAGTATAGACCCCATATTAGGCCGATAAGAACAAAAAACGGTATGCATAGAATACCCAAAAATCCAATCCCTGTGTTCATAAGAATTGGAGGCATACCTCTCGAATAAGACCACCGTCGATTTGGGAACTCACGTCGCCGATACAATCGCCACCACTGGAAACACCGAGCCTTTGTTGGTGGGTTTCCCAATCTCTCCTGAGAGACTATATAGCTCCATTCTGGAGCTAATCGGAGCACCGTACTCTGGACGGACTCTCGATTCATGTTTATCTTCCATGATTTACGAATCTGGATATACCTCGAAAAATAATCGATTTCACCTATCCTTCGATTTTTACCCGACCCTCCCCAACTGGGAGACCTAATTACAGAGACCTCTTCGATCTCCTCTTCCCTGAACTTAGAGGAGACCACGGCTTCGATTTACCAGCTCCTCACCACGGATTTTGCTACCATCATCGGAACCCTAGCCAAATTGCATAGGGCTGCTACGAAGAAAACCAGGAGAGAGGCCAGAGCTTCTCGCATTCTCTTTTTTTTTTTTTTGTTGAATTAATTGATCTCTAAATGTCCATTAGTAGAATATTCCAAATTTTGTAGCTTCTTCTAGCCTCCTCTAGATTATAAAAGTCAACGGGGAAATGAGTTAAATGAAGGGAAGTTTGTAGCCTGTAGGGAGGGAGGAGGAATTTCGAATGGGCCTTGGGAGTTTACTTTTGGATGACAGACCCGCCCAATTAGTTGTTGGGTATAGTTATTGTTCCCCGCGGCCCAATTAGTTGTCGGGTGGATTTAAACAGTTCTCATCTCAGTGTTTCAAAATTCAAATCGTAGCGGGTGGTTCGATGAGGATTCATTGTTGTCGGTTTAGCGTGTTGGTGCGGTAGAATAAGTGGAGTGAGATTGGGGAATTAATGGTTTGATTTTTTCAGTTTAATTTGGTTGGATATAGAAAAAATTTCATTATATTGTTCATAGTTTTATAAATTATATTAAAGGGTAAAATACCTCGGGTGTAACTTAAGTTTGAGAATTGGGGTAGACATACCACTTAAGTTTGAATAGGGCGTTGGGTACCATTAAAGTTGCCAAAATGTGCATCCGTCTACTTTTCCATCCAACCCAAAATTTTAATTACTTTTTGATTACCAAAACTTTTAAAAACATCAAAAACTATATTTCAACAAGTTTTATCTAATATAATTATTAGAAAACCATCTAAACATAATATTACTAGAATGACTAATCAAATTTTTTAATAAAATATATAAATTAGTAAAAATAATAAACGAATCTCGAGAAGAAGAATAAATATGCTAGAATATAATAATAAATATTTAAAATAAATATTAGAAATATCTATTTAAAACCCCCTAATTCAATTAGAAGCACTATTAGACAAAATAGTTAAAATATAATCTAATCGATCATCAATACATCAAAATAAAAATAAGGATAAATGGAACACAATCAGAAAGAATTAAACATATTTCAGTAATTGAAAAAATTCGAACGAAAAGAGATGAAAAGTAACCAAGTAATAAATAAAATATAAAAGCTACAACATTCGGTAAAAAATGTAAAAAAGAAAATATGACTATAAGAGCTACAACATTCATGAATAATTCAATTATTAGAACACATAATAATAATTGAAAATAATTCTAATGATAATTGATTCTAAAATTTCTATTCAAAAATTGGTTTACTATCAAGTATTCAGAAAAGGATTCTAACTAAACAATAAAAATGATACTTTTCATAAGTCCAAATGATTTTTTTACAATAAGAAAAGTTGAAGGACCAATTGCGAAATTTAGAAAATGGAATGTTCCAAGAACATTCTGACAACTTTAACGGAATGCACTTAACAGTAAACTTAAGTGGTACCGGGTGCACATATAATAGAGTCCAGTGGTACGTGACGCCCTATTCAAACTTAAGTGGTATGTCTACTCCAATTCTCAAACTTAAGTGACACCCAAGGTATTTTACTCTTATATTAAATATCATCTAACACATGAATAATAACATATAACATTACACCAAAATAACGTATCGTACTTGGATATTACATATAATAAAAGTTCACACACTTATAAAATATCAATATTAGACTTTTCAACTTGGAATTTCAAATATACAATTAGGCAAAAAGATAAATCGAAAATGTATATTTCGCATTGTAAAGATAACCTCCAACTTGATAACCTTGTAGCGGGCCAAAAACCAAAGCGCCTCTACCTCTATTCAAACTCTATCTCTAAGCATCTGACTACTGGGCAATCAACCCTCAATCACCACGATCTCCATTCTTACAGATATTTGAGTCACGTTCCAGCTCTGTTTTCAGAATCAGACTGGAGTCTGAACCGAAAAAGTTAGTGATTTAGGGTTTAGTGGTTAACCGTTACAAAATCGTTGCTTAACCGTTATAGAACCGTTCATGATATATAACATACAAGACTTGTGTATTACATTAATTTAAGAATAAAGTTATCATTTACCATAAACAATTTCAATTTTATATCATCACACAAATATCTAATAAATCATTAAACTGTCTCACCAAAAAAATCATAATTTTTTCAATTCAAATTAAAAATTACGATGTCAGTTGATAGTGGACCACGGAAAGACGACAAAAAACTTATAAAATGGGAAGAGAAAGTAGTTATAAAATTAATAATGACGGTCTGGCTGTCTTAGGGGTCGTTTGGTACATGTGTATCTAAACGATGCATTTAAAGAATGCATGTGTTGTATAGAATGCATCATTTTTTGTGTCAATGAAAAACAATGCATGCATTTCATTGATGATGTGACACTTGAAATCATTCAATATGAATGATTTACAATCTCAACAATTTGGTGAGATTGTTGAGATTGTTTTCCATTTTCTTTCCCTTTATATCCCTATCAACTTTTATGCATTGTTACTCTTCTATGTAAAAGAAAGGGTAAACATGACTTTTCACTTAAAAAATAACTTTCTCATTTTAATCCTAAAATTACAATTATAACTACAACTACCAAACAATGTAATCTTATAATACATGCATTTAGACAATACAATAATTTACAATGCAAGTATTCATACAATACATCAATTCTAACAATCGCAAATACCAAATGACTTCTTAGTTTATGTTAAAGATTTTCTAAAAAAACATTATGGTTAAAATAGTGAAGGTTTAACTGGTTGTTATAAACAAGGTGTTATAACAAGGCGTTCCAGTGTAGGCAAAGCCCCAATCCGAAAACTGTCATTTCAATTTTACCTCCCACATTTGCCTTGAAGAGGCCAAGATATCAGTCCAAAGGTTAACACGTCTCTCAGCAGCTCCAACTTTCCTTTACATAACTTGGAAATAGAGTACAAGAAACTTGTTAACTTACGAACTATGACCACCACATTTGACAGAATAACAAAATAGAGCAGAGACCAGAGAGATCAAGTGATCAACTGGCCTTTTACCTAACTTTACAGAATCAAAAGATCACAAACTATTTCATCAATGAACTCCCCGAGAATCCCATCTGCTGTCTCCGCACCTTCTTCAAATGCTTCCACTCCGAAGTCGACCCACTTCCCATCCCCACAGCTCATGTCCCCATCCACAAGCTCATCCACCATCATATCTCCCATGGTCTTCCACCCTAATATCTCTTTGTGCAACTCCTTCGCCAACCATCCTTTCCTCTCAAGCAACACCCCTCTGAGCTCGCCCCACGACCTTTGCCTGCACTTGTAGTCCAAGAACTCGCCAACGCAATCGAACATGACCTTCCTATCGAGTTTCGAGGAGAGCTCGTCATGGCTTCTACTCGAGTTACTCTCCTCGTGTTCGAAGAGGTTCGGGGATATGACCTTGGAGGGGCTACAGCTCAGTGCCAGGTCTTCGAGGTTCATCTCGGCGGTGTCTAGGATGTGGCTAACGTAGTCGAGTTCCCAGTTGCTTGGATCGTTGTTATGCTTGGTTGTCGTTGCTGGGAGTATTGCTGAGGGGGTTTGTCGAAGGTGGCTAGCCATGGAGATTGAGGAGGTGGCAGAATCTGATAGCTCGGTTTCGAGTTCTTCATCGTCCTGAGTTCTGGTAGTTGAGGTCGTGTTTAATGTGGTTGGAGCTTGAGCCGAGGATGAACATAGTTGATCACTACCTGAAAATTTTACAACAGCTTTATCACGTTCTGAAGGTAAAAGAGACTGAGGTTACCATATAACTCAGAGAAAGCCGAAAGGGCCATATTGTTGCCAACCCACCAAACCCATTATGACCTGACCCATTTAACCCATTACTCATTCAGTTCAGTTTCAATTCTTAAATGCAGGAGTTTTTGTTTTTGTTCCGTGAATCCTCGAAACCAAAGCCAACTGAATAGCCACTGCCCACTAGAGTAGATCGGATTCGATTCTAAACTGAACCATGTACAACCTATAAAGCTCCGGCTAAAAGGTGCAATTCTTACAACTTGCCATTGCGATCCTACCCGAGCTGCTAGTGACCTCTAAAACTAGGTTCTGAAACGCAGTTGCCACATGCTTGAAGATAGAAAAGAATAGAAGGCACATTCAAGGAAGTGTAACATTAGCTTTACCCTGAGAATCTGAGCAACTTTGGTCTGGAATCCATTCTGTATAACTAGGAGGTTGAGATCCAAGTTCTTTCCCTCTTTCAATGTAACTGCTGCTACAGCTATGCTCTTCTGTTTCTTCTGATTGCTGATACTGTATCAAAAAGTTTTAGTTAAAGAGCGAAATGAATAATAGTCAGCAAAGTATATTCCAAATGACCGACATGTTAACGTTCCAACATTTGACAAAATGGAATCGTATGATTTATGGCTCTTCTAAGGTGATATTATCATACAATCAGAAAACCCATATCTAGATTGCTTAGAATCTGACGAGGCCATAACATATACATAACACTTAGAAGTTACAGTGCCTTCATCACATTTCTGAAGATAGATAGACAAGGGGAAGAATGATGAAATGCAGAAAAACACAACAAGAAACAAACCTGGCGCTCAGGGTGAGAGTTCAATGGTAACTTCTCTTCAGATAACCACTCGCCATCTGCCTTGTGCAACTCCACTTTATCTAAACTAAGTTCAGAAACATTCTGCTCAGCTGCCGAGGACGTATCACTCATTACGTTAACTGATGGTGCTGACTTAAGTGACCCTGACTCCATTTTATCCGTCAACTCTCTCAACTTTCTTTCCAGAAGAATACCCAACTCATCACCACCAATCATACTCAAGCCAATACTGTTCCGTGTCGAACCATCCGAGGACAGAGATGACCTAGACATGTTGTTCCTCACCATTGGAGAAGTGAATGTGAATGAAACCACATCCAAACTGTTCTTCTCATTTCCCGTGTTCTTCATGCATTCATCAGCTGCAATTTTACAGTTGATGGCTCTCGAATCCTTATTATATAACCGAGTAGCAGAAGCCCCACTGTTTGATGGAGGATCACCGTTTATTGTCTGTTTCTTCTGAGAGAAAGCCTTCCTCTTCTCCTTCTCGGAGTTCATAGATACCGTGCTGACAGTCCTATTTGAACCCGAGGAACCACTCGAGGCCCGAGCTGCAGCTATACCACCTTGCTTTGAGGTTGAAGGTCCCTTTCTAGATAGAGTATTATTTTGCTTCTGGTTGTTCTGTTTAAGCACATTGCTCCTATTTTCAATGGCCTTCTTGTGAACACTCCTTTGCATGCTTTGCTGGGATTTCATCTCATTTTTCTCCTTTGGCTTGATTCTACTGTTATTACTTCTGGTTGATGAACCATCTGGTCTTTGTTGGACTAATTTCCCTTTTGCCCTAGCGATTTCAGGAGAAGCCTTTGGAGGCTTGCTGAATGAAGATGAGCCTGCTAATGATGATCCACTCTTACTCTCGTCTCTACGCTGACCCTTCAAATTTCTCCCAGGTTCACTTGAAGTTCCAGGTTTAGCCACCCTATGTGCAGCTTCCATTTTCTGCTTCAAATCCCTGATTCTCATGGGAACTGAAGGCGAACCGATTGATGGCACTCTAGTGGTATTATTCACTGCCCTAGGACTTGCCTCCATTATCTTGGCAGCTGCCTCAGCAATGGAAGCTACGTCCTTCGGCGAGATGAATCCAGGACACTTAATTGGAGATAATAGCCTGTGATGGGTGACTGGGATTGATTTAGCTGATCTCGGCGGCAAAGTTTCGGTCTGAAATCTTTCAATTGGCTGCCTTGATTCCCTCCAATGGTGCATTTCCATCCTACCAGAGACACCGAGAAAGTCCATAGGACTGTACTGTGAATTTCTAACTATACGGGGTTGGAGTTGTTGATTCGAAGAGGGTTCGGTCAGAGCTGATGTTGTAGGCATTGAATCTAAACCCATGAGTCTTGCAACTACACTGGCAGGTCTAGTTCCATAAGCGTCGTCACTAGTTACTGATGAAGCACAGCTTAAGTCACTACTACTCGCTTTGGTGCTCGCATTTCCTCTTTTATCTTCAAACTCTATCTGGCAATTACATCCGAAGTAGACCACTTAACAAAGCTTTCCAATAATTAAACATTACCACTGACAGAAAGAAAGAGGCTTACAGTATGAAGCTGCAACTTCGGCCCTCGTTCAACGTTTTCTTTCCATAGTTTGGTTCCTTCTAAACAGGTAAGAAAACCGAGATATGATTTCAGCTGCACTTTTAAGAAGAAAGTTGACCAGAAGAGAAGCAAGTCATGAAGCGAGGTTGAGAGGAAATATCTATATACCTGCTAGTTCTGGATTGTTTGGGAAGAGCTTCTTACGGGACTTCTTCCCATTCCAATCAAACATATGAAAGAACCCTCCTTTTGAGCGCTTTCTCTCCGCCTCCATTCTCTTGTGCTCAACCTAAATCTATTGTCCACAATAACCAGGGGGAAAAAATCAGATCCCAATTAAGCCCCAAACTTGAAGGAAAAAAAATCGTGAATTCGATACATGGAAGCAAGAAACTGCATCAGCATTGCTTAGCCAGCCATGAACAAAGAGCAAATCAGACAAATCCAAGCTGAAAATCACCAGAAAAGCAAACCCAATAGAGCCTATGAAAACACGAAACAGGCAACCCCATGGAATCGAATCTCCAGTTACCCAGAAATGCATTGACCGGGTAGGAAGTTCAAAGCTTTCACTCATTACCATTTTTTCATGGAAATCCGGAATCTTACCCGAAGTTTCCTAAAAAAAAACGTGGGTAGCCCCAGAGCTCAGCTCTCCTCTTTCTCGTACAAACAGCGAATCATCCGAGTCTGACCCAGCACGGTAAACCACACAAAGACGCGAACTTTTTAACCGTCGCGAGGAAATTTCATTGTCCAGAGAAACCCTCCCCTATTCTCTCAGAAACACTAAAAAGCTCCAGGACAGGGACGGAATGGCTACCAAGATATGAACTATGAAGTAGTGTTACAAGAAGAACAGAGACGCGCAGGTAAGAGGACACGCAATGGGCCAAAAATTGGGTGACATGACCAGAAACTGAAATGCAAAACGGAGAACTGATGGGTGGGGGAAAAAACTGCTATGAGAATGGCTCAAAAAAAAAAAATTAGGTAAAGCAATCAGTGAGGGAGGTTACAATGTGTCAGCCGAACGGAGAGAGAAACAGAGAGACGAATCTGTTGAGAGTTAATGCAATCTGTTGGCGGAGAGAGACACCGTCAAGCTATCAATGGCGGAGGCAGAGACTAAAGAGAGCCAGCGAGGAGTCAAAGACCGAAGAGAGAACAGAAGAAGAAGGCTCTCTCGGCATTGCATCTCTCATATTTCCTGTGAAATCTCAAATCTGCAAAGGGCGAAAAAAGAAACCGAGATAATAGTGGGGAAAGAAAAAAATAAATAAAAAGTGAACTTTCAGTTGTGGGCCCCACTGTGCTACGTGTTCGACTGCGATTGGACTGAGGGTCTGGGGAAGTGAAACTCTTGCTCATTAGACTGGGGCTGCTCACGAATTATGAGGAGAGAAATTCAACTTTTTGAAGGTTTTATTATGGATTAACATAATGTATTAGTTAGAATTTTAATAGGATAGATATAATTTATTAGGCAAAATTTTCAAACTTCTTAAATTATTATTCAAATATATTAAAATGTAAAATATTAGTCAAATTTTAATTTTTCATGAGCATTTTTTTAATAATATTGATTTGACAATATTGATTTGGAAAATACATTTGAATGTCAATATTTTAAAATTTTAACTAAGAAAAATATTTATAAAATTACTAACTGTAACAAAAAATAGCTAATATTTTGATGTATTACAAAATATTTGATAATATTTATATTTTAAAAAAATAGGATAAGATTTTTGAAAATTTTTAAAAATTTGACTAATAAATTATATTCACATTTTTAATTATCTAAAAAATAATAGTAAAAATTTAAAAAAATTATGTAACAATTATATTGTTAACTTTCTATTTAGTCAAACGTCACATTACTTTGATGTATTCAGCAAAAAAATTACTTTAATGTGGCAAATGATGCTGCCATGGATGCTGGTGTGGATGTTGATTTTTTATATGTAGCCAAACTATAAGATTAAAAAATATTAATAGTCCAATATTTTTTATTTTGGGCAAAAATGATAACCTAATCTTTTGAAATACAATTAAATAGTCATTTTTCGTTAAAGATAACTACAGAGTAAATGAAATCATGTGTAAGTAAATGTGTCTCGATAGCTCAACACTCAATTAGTTAACATATTATTCAGCTAATTTTAGCGTTAATATTAACGGAAATAACTTAAATTTTATTTCAAAGTGTTTAATTATTATTTTCTGCTTCTGTCTTATAATTAACTTACATGCTAAAATTCAACATCCACGTTAGCAGTCATGTCAGCATCATCTGTCACATTATAGTCAATTGACTTAACTGGAAGTAAGATTACCGGTTTGATTATCAAATTATATTTTGAAATATTGTACTATTATTTTTTAATATATTATTTTGATCCTTTTATCATCTTCCCAATGTAAGTTACAACTTGGAAACTAGAGTATTAGGGTGGGCTAGCTACTTTTACGGCTAGAATGTGTAAATAAATTACCAAAGATGAACCACCAAAAAGGAAAAGCTAGCCAATATGGTATTAGTAATGGTTACAACTTACAAAATGATGTGATTGTGAAAGAAAGGGAAATAATAACTTATAAAAATGAACAATTCTAATGAGATTATTTTCATTATTATAAAACTAACTCGTCTAGGTGACAAGGTTTGAGAGAAACTCTATATTGGAGTAATTTGAGTTGGTTCATAACTCAATCAACTTTAATGTCAAGAACCAGTTGATTCAAATAACTCGAGTTGTTTAGAGAAGTTCAATTGTGGAGACCTTTCGATCACATGTAGAAGACTCTGATACCATGTCAAGAACCAGCTGATCCCAATAATTCGAGTTTCTTGGAGAGGTTCAATTGTCGATCATATATCATTTACCAACACTTAATGCATGATTAGATAAACAACACGAATTTTAAATGTTGAAGTTCTTAATTATTGGTGATTTTAAAAAAAAAAAACATTGACCCCCTTGCATCAGCAACCATCGATCCGACTAAACTGATGAACCAAAATTTATGTAGTTGTTCAACTAATCGGGCCAAGCTAGATTTGACAACATGTGATATTCAAATACACCATCCATGTATAAAGTGTATTCACAGAGACAGTATGAAATTGTGACAGTAAAATAGCATCCCAAATGCACCGGTTCATAACTGCATTTTTTTTCCACCATAAGATAGCTTGTTCATAACTGCATTATAAGAAGGAATTATGATCCTTTGGTTTCCAGTTCAACCAAAATTCTTCATTCATTTTGCTATATAAGCAATCAAAACCGATGAATTTATGCCTTGGAAGCACTACTCAACTACATTAGACAAATGGATTGTGGTGTCTCTTGAAACAGCTTAAATTCCAACCAACTTTCTCCGAGCAACTGCTTGTATGTCGATGTTGCTTGGACCACAGAAACATAAATTCATTACAGAAATGGATTGGGAAGAGGGGAGAAGAGAATAATAATAATAATAATAAATAAATAAGTAAATAAACCATAACTAAAATAGTATAGCAATAAATTCCAACACAGTGCTGTCTTTGAATTGGAAATTATGTTTGGAAGAAACAAATTAGCACTATCTGCTAATTTTGGTTCGGTCAGAATCTGCATCTTTCACCTGCCATGTCTGAAAAATCAAACCCCCCATAGCCCAAGCCAAATGTAAAGAGACAACTGCAGACATTTGGGTCAGATCCTTATTCTATTGGGTGGTTCAGATTCATATTTTATTTGATATTTTGGTCAAAGGGAAGAACGCCTAGGATGATATATAATTTAAACCCTAGATCACTTTTAAGTGTGGTCAATACCTGCTTGAGTACGGATCAGGACGGGTCGACCCATTCTCACGAATTATTTGAAGAAAGTAAACACAAAAATCTACTTTTATGATAAAATAGAGAGAAAACACTTCATGATTGAAAAATAGTGATAATAAAACGAGTAATTGACTAATTGAGTCTAAATTAGTGAAAGATCAATTCTTGCAACCTATTTTGAGTTTCATTTTACGAAAATATAATTGAAATATGAAAAAAAAACATATATATTAAAAAATTGAGATATGATTGGTAAAAAAACGAGGCAAATCTTAGCGTGACATATCAAAAGTGATACTTTTTGTCTCGTCCCACGCTACTACGACTAGGGTAGTAGACGGACCAAATACGTGACAGGCCATGTTCAAATTGCCACTTCTACTAACAGTTAGGTTTAACCCAGCCCCTGAGCAATGCATAAAAAATGGTGTCAAAGAAGAAGAAAACTGTAGGTCAAAGACAAGGTGGAACAACCATTTGTTTTGTTTTACAATATACATTCAATTACCAAGGATCCTTGTGGGATCAGAGAATCTGGCGTTTCTCAACCACAATTCACACCCAAAACATGAAGTTAGGTGATATCCTTTGACAGGCCAGAATGAAAAGAAAGCGAGGGACAAAACAAAACAACATCCAATATGACAAAATCGAGTGCCTTTCTTTCTTCACTAAAGAATAGTTATTTTGGTATAATATGATATGCTTACTAGCTGGAATGCATATGGGGATTTTGATGGAGAAAGGTTGCATGTTTGCTTACTTCAAAGGATGCCGCTTACGTTTACACAAGATTATAAAATATATTGGGTCGCTGACATGTCAACTTCTCACACAAATGAAAAGGAAAGAAAGAAGTGCAGGGGTGGTGTGCAGATTGAGTTTATGTAGTAGGGAGATAATTTGAAAAAACACCAACCATTGTGCACTTTCTCAAATTTTTCTTGTGAAGTCTTGATCACTTGATAGATCTTAGAGAACAATAAGCTTGCAGGCATAGAAGACTAGAATTTGGCTTTACGCTTAAACAGGGAAGGCAATTTGAATCTTTAAAGGAACTGAGCAAGGTCTAACCAGAGTAATGGCAAATGTCCATACCAGCTTGCTTTAAGACATGTCAAAAGAGGAGAGCAGTCAATTCTAGAACCGGTTGCATGATCAACCAGCTTCAAGTTGAGCAAACCAACCGGTAAGACCTCTCTCTCCTAAAGTAGAAGGAATTGTTTAGGTCTTGTTTTCTAGCAAGCATAAAACAAATCCTTCTTCTGGAATAGGGAAATGTAGACAGTACGTACGTGTAGGGAGATTATCCCTCCCAGCTCTTCCAGATTCTTGACAATAGCTTTCGATTCATTTGGACATCGTGTTGTGAATAACAAAGCGCGGAGTATAGTGACAGAAGAAAGTTTTCACGTTTTAATCAGCGATTGATTTGC